TGCTATCTTAATTGCGTTCTAAATTCTTTGCCCATATCAAGGCGAGACCCCCGCAGAGAATCAAGAGCTACCCCTCAATTCCTGGAGACTCCTGCCATTCCGGGAGCTTCTGAAACATTAGTGTAAGCAGAGGAGTGATAAGACATAGTGATGTGTAAAGCCTCTATTTTTCGGGAATTCCCGATTAAAAGTTACTAAAATTATCGGGAATAACATCTCATTAGTCTCGAGGGTTATAAAGGCTCCAAAATTAGTCACGTCTGATGTATTTATACTTAATTTTAAATTAATAATTTATCGTAAATTCATTATTATTTTATATAAAATTTTGGAATTCACACAACTTTAAGTAAAATAATCACAGAATATATGTCAGAATTTGCAAAAATCCTTAATAAATTTGAAACATTTAACGAACCAAAATAATTTTTGTAATTATTTTAAATAGAAAATGTTTTAATTAATTTGATGTTTATATATTTCACCACATTAAAAGTATTTAAAATTTAGTTTAAAAACATGTGAAGATTTCACATTTTTGTGAAAATTTAGTCTAAATGAAATACTCAAATGAAAATTTCACTAAAATTATTACTATTATTACTAATATTATTAATAATATTATAATTATAGTATTAGGTAGTTGTCAATATAAGGTATGTATTGTACAATTAGGGTTACTGTATAAATATTGTACAGTACAATATAACTTTATACAGTATTTAACTTTTGTCTAATTTTAATTTAATATTCTTTATGATAAAAGTTTTTTGCTTGTTTCATTCATTATAATTTACTGTATGTCAGATAAAATGTTCCAAATATATTGAATACAAATCAATATTAATTGTAAATTAATAATATAAAATTTTTACTTTCCTTTTGATAAGTTTGTTTGATGAGTAAAACACAATAAACACAATTTCAAATGACCGGTACAAATATTAAATATTTTTATTATAAAGTATATTAATTTTAATACAATATTAATATTTAGCCCAAATTATTGTTAATTTGTTTTACATTGAATTCATATAAAATAACCCCTTTTCTGTAAAAACACAATTATTTAATACATAAAACCAAAAAAACTTTCAAAATATTAAATTAAAACAACTAATGATGTGCTGTAAGGGTTAGGCCGCGGAATCAAAGAATGAATCGATTATTAAGGCAACCCTTTCGGGTGTATATTTGATGTATTTGTCGATATTCTTTGTAAAATTCATGTTAACGTATCTATAAATTAAACATATTATAAGACAAATGTCATTATTTCATACAATTAGTCAAAAGCACTCACTTTTCAAAAAATAATTTATATTTAGGAATAATATAATCTTTATTTTCTTGTTTCAAGGATTCTCGCAGTTCTAAGTCTGGAATAGCGAAAGACATCTGAATTCTATGTATTTCTTCGATTTCTTTATTAAAACCCTGTTTGAAATAATGTTAAGAATTAGTTTCATTGTTAGTTAACAAACAAAATATATTTACAGCGAACTTGTCCTTAATATTCTGGCGGTCTTTGTCTTTGAGCTTCATATTCGCCATATTATTCATTTCAGGTAAAGTCCTTTGTTGTGAAAATGGTTTATCCATTTCCAACACATAGTGGAGAACTCGACTCCAACTCTGAGAATAGATTCTCTTCGAGTCCAACATCTGTTCCTCGTATACGGACTCTATCTCTCGGTTATACATGTGAACAATATTTAGAAGAGAAGATTTCCTTAGAGTCTATTCAATAGAAAAACATAATATAATATTCATAATTAGTAAATATTAATCATTATAACCATGAGTGTTTAAAATGTACACCTAGGTATAAATTCTACGGTGATGCAGAGTGTAGTGCTGTAAGTTTAAACACTCTTGATCATAACAATTGCTATTTAGTACTACCTTAAGAATATAGTGAACATTATTTAGTTTGAAAATAGCTTTCAAATGAGAATCGCTATAAACTTCGCTCTTGTTTTGAAGTGTAAGACCGAGTGCTGAGAGAACTCGTGTGATATACTGAGCGAATGCCAGTCTATTCTTATCGGAACTATTCTCAAGTGATTGGATGTCTATTACGGTTATAACGCGCGACAGAATATCTAAATATTGGAGTAATTGAACGACAAATATCATGACATTACTGGTGAGCTCGTGAACGGTTCCATCCTTTGGTACTTTGGTGTGAACATCACTTTTGATGTATTCAAGAAACTCTTCGAGAGATCGGGAAATAGTGGTCTGAAGTGCGACCACTAATCCCTGAAACTTGGACTGCACTTCAAGATTACATCCGTCGAAAAGAAGGTCAAAGTTGTGTCTCATCGACGCCTGATGTCTAAGAATAGGGAACAGACAGAGAGCCGATGAGAAGTCTTGACGTGCGATACACTTCTTAACCCTATTGGCCAACAGTTCTCCCTCTCCGACAACACTCTCGAGCGATGGATACACTAAACGACTAAATATAGGTCTTTGATGTTCCAAACGAATGATACCATTCATGAGTTTGAGTTCGCTTTGCATTAGTTTATAGAGTGCTGTCACACAAGTCAAGTATCCGACAATTTCGCGCTCACTTATCGACAGCTCGTCTTTGCCTTCAATAATCATTTGATTGGATTTATTGCCCAAAACATCGCCGGGTATTACGTCTTGAAGTTTCTTCATTAACGCCTGTTGTATACTCTTAGGTGTGCGCCGAACAGCACTCGACTCTTTCATCTGTGCGGTAAGAGTCTTGCGGCCCATCGCTGGCGAGCTGTGACCCAATGTCTGGCCACTCACTTGTGTCCCACCGCTACACGACTTCTGGTGATCTCTTAGTCCTTGCAATGACTTCAGCAACACTTCAGAGCGAAGATTAGCGTAAACTGTGATGAAGTCGTCGTTGCGATTAATACACAGCCATTCAGCCAATTGTCTCAACTCGTCCTTCGCTTTCTCTGATTACAAGACAATACATGACATGACATGAGTTATTATCAATAAATAGTGATCACGTGTCAAATACCAGGCAATTGTTCCAAAATAGTTTTGTCCGCCTCTCCGGAGTCCTGATTGTCCTCTTCGTGAACCAAATCATATATAAGAATCGGAGGAACGGCTACACTATGTCTGGACAACAACTGCCGGAACTCTCTTTCGATACAATTGCCTCCCTTTTCATACAATGCACTCTTCGGGCAAATGATAAACAAAACGTAAGCCAATGAATGGCATCAATGGGTGGATGTGTCAACACTTACCACATTCATTAGTTCCGGACTCTCGGGATTGTTGAGCTCGAAGTAATCGATGGCCTCTTTAAGTCGATCCAAGTTCTTGAGATAAGTGTCGAGCGAATGGTTGGGTCCGGTGGTGATGACGGTCTCCACTTCGTTAGCCACTGTATAAAATTTGATGACATAATCGAGTCGTTCAAGAGTTGAGACAATATTGAGTTGAATTGTCTGAAGATTTCCGGTCTCTCTATAGACGGGTTGAATAGTTGTCTCCAATTGTGAGAGTCTTTGCGAAAAGTTGTCTAATATTTGGGACATTTGTCGCGTCTGTGAATCACTTTTGCTCAACAAATCCTTAAACAAATCCAAACTTTTGATCGCTTTCTCCAATTTATCACTATTTTCCTCCATTTTCTTCTTGTCGGTTGTCTTGAAGACTGCAATCAACACATCCAACGGATCCGCTCTCTGGAGGCGTCAACTCTGAGCCAAAGTTCAATCAAAACTCGTATTTCTGTGTAATGTTTACAAACAAAACACAACTCACAGTAAAAGTAATGTATTGTATGAATGGTATGAATGGGCCGTCAATTGCATACACATTGGAAATGCTTTGAAAATTTAGGCAAACATTGATTTACAGCTTATTTGACGTCACTTTACATCTCTTTTGCATTGATTTCCTATACTTTACTGTCATTTCATTTGAGTTTTCACTCAAATAATACTTTTCATTCAATTTATATTTTTATGATTTAATTGATCTGCAAATCGGGAGAACACGTAAGTATGCATACCATACATGTGACCACTCTTTGAGTGCATTGTAATGCAAAACGAGATTAATTGTTGATATGATAGGTGTATCGGATGTCTTACCCGCCGTATCCGCAGCCCATTAACAGTCAGCCCCAGTCGGGGGCGCCGTATATGGGATACCCGCCACCCAACACACCTATGTATGACTTGCGCTATGCATAACACATACACTAATCATAAACTGTATAACCATTGAAGGTATGGATCGGGTCCTCCAACCGGGTATGGAATGCCTCCCGAGCCTGGATTCCCGATGCATAACATGGCTTATCCGCCGCCTCAATCATATGGACAACCTATGGGTCAGCCTATGGCTCAACCAAATGCCCCAAACGGTAGGCAATAGTTTAATGTCTATTTGAAAAGTTGACTAACTTTTGAGTGTTTTTAGAGCAATGGATGAATGTGCCGATCGGTATACCCAACTGTCCACCCGGTCTCGAATACCTGACTCAAGTGGACCAGCTCTTAGTCCACCAGAAAGTGGAATTACTCGAAGGTATTTCTCATGTTTGCTATTAATAGTGTCTTAATTATTGTTACATTTATATAGCATTTGTTGGTTTCGAAAGCGCTAACAAATATTCAGTGAAGAATAGTTTGGGACAGAAAGTGTATCACGCCATCGAAGGTATAGCTCATCTCATCACTCATCCTATTTAAGATGTTATTTTATATGTATTTCAATGTATAAATATAGACAACGACTGTTGCACTCGTAACTGTTGCGGACCTAACCGTCCCTTTGATATGAAAATTCTGGATAACAATCAACAGGAAGTGATACATTTGTATCGTCCTCTTCGGTGCAGTTCGTGTCTGTTTCCATGTTTTCTTCAGGTATGCATTGATTTGAATTTTTCTACTTTTAGCCTCAATAAAAGTTTTTTAGCCATATTTATGATAATATTGTGATTAACGTATTAAATAGCAAATGGAAGTGACGGCTCCGCCCGGAAATATAATCGGATACTTGACTCAGGAATGGAGTCTTTGTGTCCCAAAGTTTAGAGTCGAAGACGCGTCCGGAGAATGTGTTCTTAGAATTGAAGGCAATTTTTATATTTTTAAATGAGACACAAATTGATTGTAATCGATATTTTAGGTCCCGTTTGTACTTATGGTGTTTGCGGTGACGTTGAGTTTCAAGTGCTCTCCAGAGACGGATCAGTATCTGTCGGCAAAATTACTAAACAATGGACAGGACTTATCAGAGAAGCCTTTACTGATGCGGGTATTGACCAGATATAATATATCATAAACAAATCATTTTCTTACATTGATATACATTGTATGTTATCTCAGACCACTTCGGCATATCTTTTCCCATGGATTTGGACGTTAACATCAAAGCTGTACTTTTGGGCGCATGTTTTCTTATTGTAAGTTTTCAGTATAAGAGAGAGAGTTTAAATAGCATTATTAGTGAAATAAATGTACAGAAATGGTTAATTTAATGGTTAATTTAATGGTTAATTTAATCTATTGTTAATAGGATTTTATGTTCTTTGAGAAGTCGGGCAACAAAGAGAACGACAGAATCGGTATGTTTTAGACTTTAAATCAAAATAGTTTGCAAATACAGCAAACTATCGATCAATGTTTTACTATTAATATACAATTTATTCATTATTTTCATTACTATATTGCTATTGCTTAACATTATTAATATGAAAGGACCCTAATCTATTATAAGTTATTATAAACTATTTTATTATATCGAAATACTTTATCACATATTGTTAATATCCTTGGTTAAGAATATCAGATCTGATAACAAATATTTATCGAATTATTTTTGATATTTCCTAAAATAACTAAAGCATACAATTTAAATTTAAATAATTAAAGCCAATACTCTACTATTCTTTCTATGATGGTACACTGGATGTACTTATTATTAAAAATTTGTATTTTTCTCTCATTCTTTTTTAACATAACAATCTCGTAATTATAAAATTTGACAATTTATGACAATGGTGATTTTAATAACTTTTATGCATTTGCATTACAATCGCTATATAAACCAATAATTCTCTTATAAATTTGCATTTGAATCTCTCGATTGCATTATTATTGTTATATTTGCAACATTTAAATGAATCACATTATTATAAGAGTATATGATTTTGAGAATACGATCCATACCTTCAATGGTTATACAGTTTATGATTAGTGTATGTGTTATGCATAGCGCAAGTCATACATAGGTGTGTTGGGTGGCGGGTATCCCATATACGGCGCCCCCGACTGGGGCTGACTGTTGATGGGCTGCGGATACGGCGGGTAAGACATCCGATACACCTATCATATCAACAATTAATCTCGTTTTGCATTACAATGCACTCAAAGAGTGGTCACAAACTTACGTGTTCTCCCGATTTGCAGATCAATTAAATCATAAAAATATAAATTGAATGAAAATTGAGTGAAAACTCAAATGAAATGACAGTAAAGTATAGGAAATCAATGCAAAAGAGATGTAAAGTGACGTCAAATAAGCTGTAAATCAATGTTAATTTTCAATGCATTTCCAATGTGTATGCAATTGACGGCCCATTCATACCATTCATACAATACATTACTCTTACTGTGAGTTGTGTTTTGTTTGTAAACATTACACAGAAATACGAGTTTTGATTGAACTTTGGCTCAGAGTTGACGCCTCTAGAGAGCGGATCCGTTGGATGTGTTGATTGCAAAACCGTCTTCAAGACAATCGAGAAGAAGAAAATGGAGGAAAATAGTGATAAATTGGAGAAAGCGATCAAAAGTTTGGATTTGTTTAAGGATTTGTTGAGCAAAAGTGATTCACAGACGCGACAAATGAGTCAAATATTAGACAACTTTTCGCAAAGACTCTCACAATTGGAGACAACTATTCAACCCGTCTATAGAGAGACCGGAAATCTGCAGACAATTCAACTCAATATTGTGTCAACTCTTGAACGACTCGATTATGTCATCAAATTTTATACAGTGGCCAACGAAGTGGAGACCGTCATCACCACCGGACCCAACCATTCGCTCGACACTTATCTCAAGAACTTGGATCGACTTAAAGAGGCCATCGATTACTTCGAGCTCAACAATCCCGAGAGTCCGGAACTAA